GCAGTTGGCGCGCCACTCGCGTTTTTACATCTTCAAAAGGTGGAGATGCAAATTTGCATCGCGAGGTGTCCTATTTTACATCTTCAGGAGACGGAGATGTAATTTTTTTTTTTGCATCTACATCATCTGGTAGAGACGGAGGGGGGTTTTGGCCTTGAGTATTGAGTGCTTACAAATCATACATATGGTACGGCCCTGTCAAGGGGTCATTTTCTCGCATAGAAAAGGAACCACTCACGATCAACTCACTGGCATAAACACTGGCAATCAGAAACACCCATTCCCAACATTAAAAACTGAGAATCCATGACAGCACCGAGTCGTCAGCCACATATACAATTCTAAGTTGGGTTAGGTGTCCATGTTAATGATCTCAATTATTGAGACTGTTGAATCTAGCAGTATGAAGAATTGCTTGTTCAATGTTCGTCTCGCTTACTTCACTTAGCTAATCAATAAACGGCTCCTTAATTTATTTCGGGAAGTACCAGTTCTTTTGCTCCCACAATATTTTAGATTCGAGACGAAAGAGACGTCGGTGGTGGTATCATATTCATCGCCGAGCTTGACGGCTGCGTAGTATTTTGTTGCCACTCGCACCGCCGTCGTTTTCGGGCGCGGCCAGCTCAGTGGGCGCAACGCGCTGCATCGATGTTTGTCGTGTTTTTTCTTTTCATTTTCCCTTCTTCTTCTGTTTTCACTGTCGCATCGTTCATACTGCAGGTGCTGTCACTGGAGATTCACGGTCGCCACAGGAAAAAGTGTCGCTCTGACGAGGCAAATGCAGAATGTCGACATTGTGTGGCGTTTTGTACTGCTGAGCCCGGCTACCTTAGCTAGCTTGTTCGTTCGTTCGTGAGTGGACGGCTGTCAATTGTTGGCATCATAGCCCCCGTGGCGCGTGTTACTCTTGTCTGCTTCAACGTGTAACTTGATACGGGTACAAAAATAGGGCATCAGTGTTTTGAACCTGCTTTTAGCGTGTTATCTAGTGCACTTAGTAAGACTGCGCTTAGGTAAATTGGAACGGGAACAAACCTTGCAAGGGGGGACAGATCAAGAAGTCAAATTGAACGGACGATTTCTTCCTCGATGGTGGTAAAATACTGTATATCGTAGATCAACGGTTCAATGGGGCTGAAGCGGCTGTTTCTTGGGGTCAACTATATCACCCTGATGTGACCAAAATAATTGCACTCTGTATAGTCACGCTTGACTTAGCCGGGTCAGCTGACTGAATTAACTTCCCTGATTATTCCACACAAAAGCTGTTCTGATTATTGATTGGCGTTCGCTAGATTCCTCACCAACAAAAAAGAATAGCACAAGGAACACAAAAAAAAATGCAGGTTGGGCTGAGTCATGCATGACCCAGCTAGAGATTCTTAAATCGGGCAGAAAGGAACCTTAATGTATGTATTCCCGCAAAAAAAAAAGAATAGAAAAGAATAAGAACCTTTCGTGCAAGTATCAGTCACATGACACGACGTAGATTCGCGAAAAAAAGAAAGTATGACACGGCGTAGCATACGGAAACTGGCCTTCGTTGTTAAGTATATCTCCTCTCATCTTGTACTTGTAACACTTAAAATGATGTACTAGTATACTCAAGGGAATCCAAGTGTCGCAGAAATCTAGTGAAAAACAAATGGGAATAAGTGATCCCAGATTTCTGATAGCCGGTGGAAGAAGGAACGGAAGTCTACCCGGCCGACCGGGCACCTCTAGAATCTTCGCGTTTAAAATTCTCAGAATAATTCTTCTTGAAACCGTGAATTCAGCGTCTCGACTCTCAACCACCCAACACCAACATGAAAGAAATTGTACCAGACACCAGCGGCTCAGCTATTCAACCACCAAACATCAACATGAAAGGGATTCGTTTCTCGTTATCAGTCGTCTCGTCAAAGCGGCTTCTTATCAGTGGCGGAGCTAGATGCAGATTACGTCTAGGGCTGTGCTATGTTGAGTGATGAACTTTTATGATTTTCTATGCTTTGCATGAAAAAATTACAAAGGAAGTTGTTTCTAGGCCTGGGGCTATAGCCCTAGCTGCCCCAGGCCTGTCTTCGCCACTGCTTCTTGTTGTTACCAACTTTGCATTGACATATGCATACGTAGCTGATACGTACCTACAAATAGATGCACGTCCCGAATAATGTTGGAGGCCGAGGAATTGCAATACGATGGCCTACGGTGGTTAGCGGACAAGAAGAAGAAAAAGAAGTAGCTAATTGTTCGGCTGACACAGTGGCCATACCTATACCTTGCTAGCATGAACCGCGCAAACAACTGCTGTTTGTTCGCTAACCACATTGTCTCCAGCGACTTAGCCGAGGCAGACACGGATGGATACGTTCGTGTCACACTCATGGCTGACGAGGACGCATGGGCGCACATGCACATGCATGCCACACCTAGCTATAGATCTCAACCGTCGCACGTGTATCGGCCGGCCGGCCGGCGTAGCAAGCAAGTTGAAGCATTTATTTTCGTACCAGTTCCCTTCTTTACTTGCACACCAATTAACCCTGTTTTTTACATGCTCCGCCTTGCTGCGATGCTGCTCCTTTCCCAGCACACACGCACAGACACACGCTAGAGAATGCAGGGTACCAGTATATACGAGGGAATACATTCGGTGTACCTGGATGGATGGAGTTATCCATCACGTGCGCTCGAATCTAATCGTACATTAGGCGGCCTCTAAACACTGGGTTTAACTAAAGCAACCGCGACACACTACTGACACTAATCATGGGTTAGGCTTTCTCGCCAGCCAACGAGATGGCAACACACACCCACATGGTTAGGCATACAATAAAACAGTCTCCATGCCATGGACCGGGAACAAGCTAGCTCCCCCGGCCACCTTCCCTTTCTCTCGACGGGAATCATGGCTCGTGTTGGTGCACCGTGCACACCATGTACAAAGTACCCACATCGAGATTCGCGTCATTACTGGTGAGGGGACGCTTGACGCCTTGGCAGATTCCCGCTTCGATCCGGGCTACGTAGCAGAGTCGATGGCGCCTACGTCCAACACGTAGTTTGATATGCTCGTCACAAGCTTGTGCTTCACGGAGCCTGGCCGGTTTTGGGTGTGCGCTTTGGCTTTTGGCGAGACGCACCTGCAGCTGCACCCTGCACGCCTCAAGAATCTGAGCTAGGGCGCGGTGCTACCTTTGGCTTTGCGTCGTCCAATCATCTCTCTGTGCAGGACGGTTCAATTAGTACTAGTACTACTAGTACTCTACTGCCACTACAGGGATTTGGCCGTTGATAATTACCCCATAGCCGCCCTCGTGAGCAGCGGCGGCCACTTGGAGTATAGAGAAAGAGAACCCGGGGCGCCAATGGCATCTGGCTACGACGGCGAGGCCTCTTTCCGGGAAGCAAGCACAGCTAGCTTTTGCTTCGCTGAGATTTGTGCCCTAATTTCTATACTCAAGAAACTTCACGCCCAAGCACAGTCGCTTTGTTGCGGGGGCACTGGCTGGCTAGTATACTTGGCCAGTAGCAGCGGTAAACAAATGCTGACGTTTTCACCGAGCGGGGAGTCCGTGGCACCATGTCGCTTGCGAAACGCGCAGCTGGGCGAGGAAAAGGGGGTAGAGCAGAATCCGGTGCTCGGAGGGTTTTGCTTGGAAGCACGCGGCTAAAACGACGTGCGCCGGTGTGCGTGGCCGGCCGGCAATGGAGCGTCCGAGGGGCAAAGCTCGGCTGCACGAGTAAGGCGTGGGCGGTGGCCGTCCATGCGCTGTCACACTCGGAAGCACCGTGCTCTCACACATTCGGGGACATGCCATGCGTCCGTCGGATCCAACCAGGACGTGACGTGCTTCCTCCGGGATCGATCGTTGCCTCCAGCGTTCTACGGTCACCACACTTGCAACGATGCAGAACCTGTATACTACTCTCTCCGTAAAGATATAAGAGCGTTTAGATCATTAGGGAGTATTTCAATGTGACAACGGTTAGCTAGAACTATATATGTGTATTGAATTCATGCTTCAGTCAACTCATCCAAAAGTCCAAACTTATGGAGAAAGGCGGGCAATATATTTTAACACTCCCCCCTCACGTCTAGCTTATACCATATTGAATTCATGCTTCAGCTAACAAATCCAAAAGTCCGAACTGATGGAAGGGGTGGGCAATATATTTCAACAGCGTGCTTGTAAACGTCAACATTCAAGTATGTAACCATAAAAAAACTACTACTACTACTACTTGTGGGAGTATAGTTTTTGTGCAACATTTCAAATACAAATATGATTTCTAGTGAAATGATAATCCTTCTTTCCGCTCAATGCATTTACTCCTAAGGACCATGAATTGCTCGTCAGAAAATACAATACCCTAGACGAAAGTGAAGTGAATGCTTAACGAATCTCTTTTCATGTCTCTTTTCCTACCTTTTCCTGTAGCGCGCACTAACTTAACTAAAGTTGGAATCTTCTCAAGTCTTGTGCAAGTCCATCCCCTGTCTACATGATTAACCGAGGAATTTTGCACGGCAGTTTGATTCATAACAGAGCGGCATACATACTCTCATTCAAGCGGTGTCTGCGCGCCTAACCTTAAGAAATTTCATGGTGCAGCGCCTAGATGCTCTATGAAATACGAATACTCGATTTCCCTTAAGGCGCATGATCGATCGAGAGATGAACGCTGATCGGAAAATGTATAGCCCAGATAAGTCATGATCTGTGGGCAAAAGTTTGTGTCCAAACAGGGATTCAAAATGGTTTCGATTTACATATGGGTGCTGCACCAAGCACACAGAGGAAAAAGGAGCTAGGAGAAGGATGCGTCCAGCGGGCGATCCAGATGGCCGGAGCCTCAGCACATGAACTTTTTCTCAGATCCTTCACTGCCTCTCCGGCTCAGGCGAGAAACCGGAGAGATCAGTCTCCTTCGTCTCGCCAGATCGGTGATTCTTGAGATCCCGTTGATTCAAGCCGGGCTCTACTCTACTAGGCGACGAGCTTAGCCGGCTAGCTCGCGACGGACACCTTCCTGTACTCCTGGTGCCCGCGCCGGGCCTCCGCTCCCGACGAGAACCGCTGCTGCCTCCGGGCGGCCTGCCTGGCGGAGATGGCGTCGAGCTGCATCTGCTCGTCGCGGCACTCCTCGCTGCAGAAGGGCGTGTCCCCCTTGTACATGAAGATGTCGCTGTCGCGAGCCAGCGGCTTGGCGCAGAGCGCGCACGCGTCCAGCGCGGGCATGCCGGGCTCGGCGAGCAGCTCCGCGTCAAAGAAGAAGGAGCAAGCTACTGAAGCTGCCATTGTGGGCGTGTGTGGAGGCGAGTTTCGAGCAAAGCTGAGCAGAGCGTAGAATGGTGGTGCGCTTGCCTGCTGCTTTCGGTGTGGGGCGAAGGGAGACAGAGGAAGAGGGAAGCGAGCGAGTTGGGTGAAGCGGAGGGGAAGGCTCCGGTATATATGGTGCTCTGGTGCGTGCGGATGGACGTGGAAATACAGGACAGTTCGTGACTCATGAGCGTGTGGCTTTAGCTATAGAGCCAATTCCCCAAGTTGCAAGAAAAAGTTCCCCAAGTTTGTCCTTTGTTTTTTTTAATGTGAAACTAGCAAAGTGGCCCGGGTAAACGCAAGGGCATCTCGTCAGTTCCAAGTGTCAGGATTTTACTTTCAAAATGCGAAGTGTTAGAGAATATAACTTTTAGTTTTATGGGTATTCATGTTATCTGAAACGAAATAATATGGTCTTATTACAACAGCAAATATTATGCTTAATAAAATATCACATGTGGATGTAACATATTTTTTTTAATATATCGGCAAATGATCATTATCATTTTTGAAGAGTCCTGTATTAGTGAACATATGTTCCACTGCTACAGGTTCTTAGATCAAATATAAATTTCGAGAGCTAGACTACAATTTTCAAGTGGCGTTAGATTGATATGCGAGCACTTGTATCGTCAGTTATTGGTATTGTATGGGAAAAAAAGTATGTATCTATATTATGTGTTTGAAATAATGATCAAGAGTTTAGTGAAGCAATTGCGGATGATATGTTCTGAAGCCTTTGAAAATTAATTTTTTTTCTTAATGAAGTGAAAGAATGATTATTATTTTCATCGATAGGTTGGACAAAATTAAAAAGAGAACTACTACAATTACTTCTTTTATTATATATTTCCCTCTTAATCACATCCTCGTTTTGAAATACATAAAGCTCTAGACTTGGACAACATATCTGAGATAAAAACGTTACCACTATTTTGTATAGTATATATGCTTGCAAATTTAAAGGTGAAAGCAACAAAGAAATGACTTTCGCCACATGTTACTTTCTTTCGATTTTTTTTTTGTAATATATTTTCATATACATAGTCAAAAATCGAGCAGTCTAGGTGCAAGTTATTGAAAGCATCACCAATTTTGAAATGGAGGTTGTATGTAGTATATTTTGTAACCCATAACATGTGTCATATCTTGGCACATCTTTGTGGACAAACTACCATTTCGAAATAGGACACGAGTTGTATAGCACTCGTAGTTGAAGAAAACAATATAGATAAACTCCGTGAGTGGCTTTCGCATGCACCTCTAAACACATACATGGTTACGTAGCCATAAATTATGTAACCATCAACCAATTGAAATAATTTGAATGGTATACAGTTGTACAACTTCAACATGTGATTTTTTTTGCATACACTCTTTGTTAGAAACTTGAGGTATTTGTGTATAGACTTAGTTAGAAACATGAAATATTTTTTGTTGTTTCCATTAAGGTTATTAAGAGGGAATGCAACATCCTTTCCCTCGAAGCTGCTGTGCTTGCCGACAACATCCCAGAGTACCCGATATATTCCCTTGCAAATGATTATAAACAATTGTTTTCCATTGATTAATGATAGTTGTTTTGATCCCAAAAAACATGAGATATATTGGAGTAGCTTCTAACCTGAGATATTTTGCATATACTCTTCGTTATAAACATGAAATATTATGGATCTGCCAACAACATAAATGAAGTAAATTCATCCTTGGATTACAGTTCTGGCGACTGGGATTTAACTAAACTAATTACGATTGAGGACAAAGTATTTAAAACTCAAAAAAGAAACAACATATAAGTTTAGATGTAGATATTGGGCTCCAAGAATTAAATAGAGGAGCAATATCAAATCAGACAGGATATTGAGATGGGGAGTTTTGTTCTTTGGACTGCGAGTAAACTCGTAATTTGAATCGGAGCCAAATGAAATTAAAATATATTTTTTGCTTGCCTTATTTTGGATTCCCAGAATTTGAGATAAGACTTACCCACCAGAGTGGAGGAAGGAGGTGGCCACTACCGGAGTTGAGGATGCAGCGGTGGTCGGAGTTGGCATTTTCTCTGTAGGAGGTGTGCCCTACTCCGATGTGAGCTCCTCCATCTTTGTTGTCGCTTTGGCGTCCAAAAAACATCACCATGATCTGAACACCTCAGTGGCGGTGTCCTTCCAAAGGAGTGCACTTATATATACATATCTATATTGGTGCCAAGAATTGTTGGACTCGATTTGAGCTCCTTAGCGCTAGCACGTGACCAAGAAATTGTTGGAATTTTGCTAGTAGGCCTTTGGCCCAAAACCCAACTAAAATTTTGAAATTCTCTTGGCCCATTCATGCACACATGTGAGTGGAGTGAGTGAGGCTAAAGTTTAGTCCCACCCCGAAAGTTGAGAGAAAGTTGCACATCTTTATAAGGTGAGCTCTTCTACCACTTGTATGAGCATGAGAAGAGGAGACCTACACGCGCGCTCCTCCTCCTCGCTCGCCGCGCCGCGGGATTGAGCCGAGCCGAGGACAGAGCTATGCACGTTGAGTCATTAATTAATAATTAACGGACGCGTTAATTACTGAACCGTTTCCGATTCTTTTGGTTCGTGACGACTCGGACGTGGGGTTTACTCCCACGACCTACCCGGCCCGCACTATATAGTCAGGCAGACGTCTACCCTAGCCGCGGTCGCTTCGTATGGTTTCTCACCACCGTTCCAGATCATTGCGCCGCCAAGCAAGTCTTCTCCATCGCTCCTTCCGGCGTGCACCGCGAGAAGGGACAGCAGGCCTGCGGAACCCCGCCTCTCGTGATCCTGTACGGGAGAGGGACGATCAGGTTTTTGGGGAGCGCACTCGCGCGACTGCTGGCAGCGACGACTTCTTCCCCGACCTCGGCAACCTCGTCCTCGATGACTGTAACACCCCGGATGTAACTTTCTCAATTTGTACTCCAACTCTTGCCGTTTCCGGTGTTAAGTTATATTTATTTTCTCGGGTTCGGGTTTTTGTCTCCGTGTGTTGTTGTCATTGTCATGCATCTCATATCATGTCATCATGTGCATTGCATTTACATACGTGTTCGTCTCTTGCATTCGAGCATTTTCCCCGTTGTCCGTTTTGCATTCCGGCGCTTCGTTCTCCTCCGGTGGTCATTTCTAACTTTCTTTCATGTGTGGGGTTTAAACATTTCCGAATTGGACCGAGACTTGACAAGTGGCCTTGGTTTACTACCCGTAGACCGCCTGTCAAGTTCCGTATCATTTGGACTTCGTTTGATACTCTAACGGTTAACCGAGGGACCGAAAAGGCCTCGTGTGTGTTGCAGCCCAACACCACTCTAATTTGGCCCAAAACACACCAAACTCTGCTCCATCATCTAGAGCGTTCGATCACGATCGCGTGGCCAAAAACCGCACCTCATTTGAACTCTCCTAGCTCCTTCTATGTCTATTTAAACACCCCCCGATTTTCGGATCTCCTCCTACCTCCCAAACCCTAATTTTCCACCGCGCGCCGCCGGACATTGTCCGCCCGGGGCGGACACACCGCCGCCAGCCAACCGCCTCCTACCACGTGGCACCCGTCACCTCGCCGCCGCCTCCCTCTCCTCCGAGCCGCCGCGCCGCCACCTCCCTCTCCTCCGAGCCGCAGCCGCCTGCGCGCGCCGCCGCCCCGTCTATCTCCAACTCCGGCCACCTCGACCTCTCCGGCAGCCCCGAGCACTGTTCCGGCGAAGATCCGGCCGTCCTCGTAATCCGTGCAAACCCTAGATCTCGGAGGCGTTTTTTTCTCCAAGTCCCAGTAATTCCGATCTAAGTACTCATGTTCCTAGCTCCGTAACTTTGCATTCGTAGCTCCGATTCATGCGTATAGCATATCAAACTGTTCATCTTTGAGAGTACATCATTTCATTCCATTACATCATTTTCATTTGAGTTCATCTTGATGCCCGAAATGCTGTTAGAAGAGGGTTACTTGAGTTAATTGCCAGATCTGCTACTCCATTTAGGATTTTGTCATTTTTGCCATGATTAATGTGTGCATGATATGCCCTGATGCTCTACATGTGTTTTGTTAATGGTTTTGTCATCTTTCCAGAGGTGCAACCCATGTATTTTTGTGATGTGTGCGGTGACTAGTGCAAGCTTGCAAAGTGGTGCACTTGCTAATTCTGTTTTCAGGGACTTAGTAATTTCACCAAGTCCTGGACCTATTTATCTCATGATGCCATATGTTCATGTTGTTTGCTAGTGATCCGTGCCACTTTTGAGGATAATCAGTAAGGATGTTTTGTTAACCTTGTAGTGCTTTATCCATCCATATCTTTGTTTGAAATTATGGAGCATCCTAGCTTGATTCAATCGAGCTCTACTTTTGCTACTTTGTGAATCTGGGAAGATTGTCAACTTGTTTGCAATTTTGCCGATGATGTTGTAGTTGATACATGCATACTATGCTTTTGTTCTTGCCATGTCTAGATTGACTTTTGTGCCTTCTTGATGGGTGTATGCTTGTCTTGCCATGACTTGCACCGTAGTGAGTGCATCGAGCTCGTAAACATGCCTACTTGAGTTATATTTCAGCATGTGCCAATTTTCACTAAGTCTGAAAACTGATTATGTTTTTGCTATGTTCACATGTTTGCAATGGTATTTTCTGATCCCTTTTGGCTCAAGGTCACTAAGGGACTTTTGTTAAGCTCTTTGATTATCTCCATGCCATGCTTTACTTTGCCATGTTCAGGTCCTGTAGCATGTAGTTTTATTGCTCCGGAAAGTGCAACATGATCTGAAATTCCACACAAGTGTTAATTTCACTAAGTTTGAGATCTGTTTGTCATATGCATTTTTGCCATGCTTGTTTGAACCTGTTAATGGATGAATTGGCCGTAACTCAGTGCTAGACTTTTGTTAAGCATCTTGCGTGCATCGCTTCCATGTATTTTGTTGTCATGTTTGGGTGCTATAGCATGTTCATTTTATTGCATTTAG